GTAAATTAGGTTATAAGAATGAAGTACGAAGGCAAAGGTTTATTATGGGTAACACATTAGTGATCCGCGCAATATTTCCCTTAAACGCTTTTCAGGTGAAGAAGAGAAATGAATTCTAGAAAAATAGGTGATACTTAAACTGGAGTATAAAACCCAAAAGAGCAAACCTGCATTTCCCTCCATACGACCTGTAGTAATGAGGAATGGTCAACCAAGTGTTTCTCGACCTTCCTGTACAGTTGCTCCAAGCCCCTCTTCACTTCCTTCCCGGGATACATGGCAATAACCTTAATGGCAACATAAAGGGCATGTATAGGCAACGAACTCCTTATACGAAAAAATGCAATCACTCTTTTCAATTCAACTCGGCTGAACTGGGGTTGGTACGAAATCTCGTCAGGTTTTGTACCGCGCATTTCGATGGCATTTTGTACAGCTTCGAAGAACACCTAGTATGGAGATCTATTGAGGTGAATTAAATAAATAAGTTTGAAACATGAAATCGCTCTCCAATATTACTTATTATACACTGACCATTCATTGACCACAGAACAATACGATGTAAAATTGATTCTACAGTTTGGCTAAAAAATTAAACTGACGTGAATTCTCTCTAAAGGTCGTCCCATATACTCTCGAACGTATAAGTCAATGTTTTCCTCCTTTTCTCGCTTCGCTTCCTTTCGCTGTGCGTCCAAAAATGGGATTTTCAACTCAGACAAGGTCACTAAATGACGGTGGTAGTGTTCTGCACGAGAGGAAAAATAAGTAATAATTTACAGTAAAGCTGGTGGTAATTTTCAAATCGAACAACAGCAGTAGGCGATTTACTATTAGGGTTGGATGCTGCCTTTTCAATGCCTTCGCAAACGCAACGATAAAGGTGTACATACCTTGAAATAGCAAACCATATATGATACACTCATATCCATTTACAACGAACAGTGAATAATAAGTCAACAAACCATTTTTCGAGGTCAGTCCGCCTCTCCGCTCCTTCGAAAATGGACTCTGCAGTTCTCACAAAGTCAGCAAACCTTTCAATTGTCGGTAAAATTCCTAGTCGAACCCGCTTTGAAATTTTGATGTCCGATAAGGCCAAACCTTCTGACTCCTGATAACATTATGCATAATATTCCATCTGCAAGAAGATTCTATGGAACGCTTTACCATAAAGAGGTCGAACTGGCGTTTGATAAGAACAACGAAAGTGCCAAACGTAACAGAGTAGTATGAGCCAGATTCCTGGGGCAATAGCACTTTCTTCGACATGATGATGAATAATAGCATTACATTGCTAAAAAAAACTTCGTTTTTGCTTCATCCATAAGCCCTGGACTTGGATGAACTAAAAGAATTGTAAGCGAGTCAAAATCTAAGAACTTCTCGATAGATAAGAAGCTTTTCAATA